CAACTGTTTGAAATCAGGAAAAAACTTAAAAATCATTAATTAATCTATGGTAATAAGAATTATCAGTAAAAGGAATTCAGTTTTTTGGGGTATGAAACAAGTGGAAAAGAACAGCAATTCAGAAAAACATACATAATAAATAAATTACATACATATCTTTGAATAGTTTGATTATTCAAAGAAATGTATGTTTATTATCCAATCATTTCACACCCTTTTTGAGTATGAAATCATAGGATAAGAATTCTCTTTACCAATAACTCTAATGTGGTAGAATCATTTGTATGTTATATGCAGTGTATATTATATATGGACACTATTTTATAAATTTAGTAAAAAATTTGATTATTGGAAGTTATTTATTAAAAATATATGTATGTAATAAATAACATTCAGACAAAATCAATTAATTAAAAATATAAAAAGTTATTGAATAAACTGACTTAATAAGCTATTGTTAATATAATAATTAGGTGTGGTCCTACCACACCCTTATCTTCTATCCATAAATTTCCTTTAAATCATCAGTTTTTGTTACTGGTACTTGCTTTTCTGGTTAATTGCATCACTAACAGCCTTTTTATAAAACTGAACATGAAATTTTGGCATTCATCCCCAAATGATCCAGTTTCATCCAAATTAAAAATCTAATCTGAATACAACATTCCTTTCTACTTTTATCACTTGGAATTCTGTAATGAATTCCAAATACTCAATTATGAAATCTGATATACTGGAAATTTTCAATTCATCTTTATGATTTGAAAATTTCCATATAATAAAAATAAGTATATCACTAATTTAAATCTTTCATTGAATTTTCTCATAAGATAGTGAACATTTAGAGCTATAAAATTTTTCCAAAAAATTTATTTTCTATTTTCAGATTTACAGACTACATTTTTCTGAATCTGAGTCAAAATTTTAAAGCATATTCTATATTTGAAAATTTTAAAAATATTTTACTAAATATATGAGGAACTAAATCTTAATTTTAATTTCATTATTATTATTGTTGTTGTTATGTTTAATTGGGAAATTTAGATCATAAATTTAACACTCCCTTTCAAACTTTCACTTGATTTGTTACATTATGGACAATACAATTGTTTATTAAAATACCTAAAATAATTTCAAACTAAAACAAAGTTGTCTTAACCAAATTATTATATATATATATATAAAAATGCTAAATCTGATGGCAATATTTTACAAAATTATTCATTGTTATCAGTATTTCTTTTGAAAAAATAAATTATTATTTGATAAGCTCTTAAAATTTGAATTTACAGATTAGAAACAAATAAGCATTTTAATTTTTTCAACATGTAAATAAACAAAAGTTCAAATCTGGAAGACCAAGATATATATTTGGGAATAACTTAATTTTTAATTAAGAAATGGCTGTAAATTGATAAAGTCTATGAAAGTTATATGTAAGACTTACAATTAAATTTCAACTTGTTAATTTTCCTATAATCTCTAAAAAAATTATTATTTATGATAATTCCTTTTAGAATTAATTTAATTTCACGATGTTTTCGTACATAAAATAATTTAGTCAATTATTTTAAAAGTGATAAAATACAGAAACTTACATTAATTATTGTTACTGTTTAAAATCTAAACTAATCACCTCTGTTAATGGTTTTGTATCTATAATAGTATGATATAAACATGGAACTTAAAGCCATTCTTATTCAGAATACTCTTCTAAATTTGACTTTAAAGTTATATAATTTTTAACATAAATTATTTCTTATATCAAATGGACAAAACAACCAGTCAGATAATGAATCAATAATTGATGAACACTGACAAATGATGTTATCTGGCTCCATCACATTTTAATAAAACTATCAAGAAGGTAGAGACTTATATTGTACATATATGTAATACTATCTTTCTGGAAATCATAGCTATTTTAACTTTATTATATGAAAGTGTTATGTCATCTTATTGACTATGTTAAATATTATCATCATCATTACTTCACTGGCTACCATATATTGAGATAATTCAATCAATTAAAAAAGCTAAAATTACAGAAATGCATTTAATTTATATTTATTAAGAGTATTTTTTAGTTTTCAAATATAAAATATGCTATCTATCAAATCAACTAAATAATCAAAAAGTATTCCCTAATATAATTATTAACTTTCTACTGGTAGCTGATATAAGTATGTCAACATTTCAGTTTATACAATTTTAATGAACTGAGAAGACAAATAGTGTGTATTCACTCATAGGAAAATTTTTTTCTAAGAAAGGAGTTTCTATTCTAATTAGTTTTATTTGTAAAATTTGTTAAAATCTATTTGTTGTTTGATTACAGACATCCAACTAAAACAGATTAATGTAAATAAATAAACCATAGAAAACAAATATATTTTCTAAAAAATCCACTGAGATACTAAAAAATGAATAGAAATAGCTTATATTTTTTATATACTATTAAAATTTATTGATCTCTACTTAATATAAAGCTCTTAAAATAATGCATAAGCCTATCACATAATCATAATATTTTGGCATAAAATAGAAAATAGCATATTTGAGATGTAAAAGAAATAATACATTCATATATTTAACTTTAAAGCATTTTCATGTCTATTAAAAGTATTTGAAATTACTTAATGTATAATCAATATACTGTATATGGAAATACTCTTAATTAATTATTATTTACTCAAGAATCAATTATTATATTAAATCTATATGTTACACTTTTTAAATTGTTTGCAAATCCCACTTTCTCTTTCATAGTTTTTCGAAATAATTTTATTAAACAGTGCTGTAATTGTTCAGACAAAATATAGACATCAATAGTTAATTATTTCTTCTATCGGTTACAAATGATGATAGATATTCCCAGAATTCTATATGCAAATTCCTTCATAAAAATAAAAGTAGAATGGAATTAAAAACTTCCCCTAACTCTTTCTCTTTATCATATTATTTCAGACATGCATTTCCAGTTTTCCTTAAAATGTAACAAAATTAATCTATAAAAGTTTTTCTCAAAAACATGCAATGCAGTTATATTAATGTTCATACATTGTTAAAGGAATTCAAAGAAATTTAATCCAAATTACATATAAATTTTAGAATAAAATTCTTAGTATCTTACACTATTTTTGTGTCTTGAAAAATATTTAAGAAATCAACAGTTTATTCAGATTAAACTGTTTGCCATCTATGATTTTTACAATTTTAAAATGATAATTTTGAATTTATAAAAATGAACTAGAAGGAATAGAATTTTCAATTACATGAAAAATAAGACATTCCTGGATTTATTTAATTTTAGACCACTAAAAATATCTTGTTTTGTGTTTTACTCTGATTATTATTTAATTTATTTTTAAATAATTGTAACATTTCTTTGAAGTTATTTATTTATATGACAGGTGTTGTGACAAATAATGCAATTCCTTTGAAGTATAACTGGAAAAGGAAGATGGAATGTATACATTTAGAAACAACACATTTTTTACCTATGAAACTAAGTTTACAACATTTTTATACATTTTTTTCCCCTATACTTTTAACTTGAACTATCAAAAGTCCAAAGGTGATGTTTTCTACATGGAGGAAAAACATTTATCCAATAAATGCAGAAAAAAATAGTGTTCTAGATTTAATTAAATCATAAAAGAATGACAATAAACAGAATTATTATTGAATTATTTGTAATAAACTATTTTGTATGTAAAACTTTTTACTAAACTTTTACATGCAATAAAAGATTTTTAATAATAATATTTAACTTTATGAATAAAATATAGTTTGATTATAATAGCCAATTATTACATATTGCTGTTTTTATATTCAACATTGATCATCTATCAAAGTAGATACCAATATAAAATCTTGTCATATATATCATACAAATAGATACAAAACTAAATACTCAAAATATTTTATTATAATTATACTCTTTGCAAAATATGAAAAGAGTTCAGATATAATCAGGGATCAAACTGATATTGTTAACAGATTAAAACACATTGATTTCTTATAATCAATAACAATTATGATATGAGTCACTAATTATATAAATTTTGGTTTAATTCCACAAACATGTCACTGTAAAATATGAAAAATATACCGATTTAACTGAATTTTGGCAGAATAAAATTGATATGATCTCTGCTCAAAACCAAACATTTTATGCATTTAAGCAGTAATGAAAAATTATGAAATATTCAAAAACACATTGAAAACACATATAAGTAATGAAGAATTCAGTAAATGTAAGTATTTTTGTTTACATCAATATATCTTCGTCCAATGTGATTCTTATCATTCAACTGACCACTTTCTTAGCAACAAGAATGCCTCTAATTTCAAATCAACAAAACACACATATATAGACTTAAGTACTTATAAACATTAAGTTCAGTAGTTTTTATTTTTACAAAGTTAGACTATATAAAATGAAAATTCATCATTTTATATTTCTATTTTGTAAATGTCACATATACTTCCCCAAACATCTAACAGAATTTTAAAGAAATTAAAAATTAACACAAATATATAAAGTACTATCACGTTATACCAGGTACAGTGTTATTTATGTCTTGTTATAGCTCCACCTAATGTAACAGGTATTACATGCAACTTGAAAGCTCTTCTAAATTGTTAAAATAATTATTTACCAAAAATCTCAAACTGTAAAGAGAATTAGTATTTAGGAAATGATGAAATGTGTTTTTATTTTATATTTAAATACTTCGGAAGATAATAAACATATTAAATAGTTATTCTCATTTATCTTTTATACTTTTATCATAAAAATACATTATTATATATTGCCATGCAATCAATAAAGTTATTATAATTGCAAATATATTTAATAATGGTGACGTTTACATTTATATTGATTTAAATAATTTTCGATTGATTCCCTCAAATGACAAAGATGTTTTATTTTATAATACATAAACCATTTATCATTGTTTCTTTTTATAAATATAGAAATTAATTGAACTTACGTTCCAAGTAGATCTTTAAATTCATATTTATCTTCAACATTCGTTGTTTCTTTCTCCTTTTTACGCTGAGAATCCTTTTTACCGAACAAGGGCATAGCTTATAATTAAAATACTTAATATAATATTTCAATTAATTCCTACAAATCATCTAAAATTATTTTTTGACGGATTTACAATTCCAAATCCCCTAGTAATAAGTCGCCATCTTGAATACTACGTAAGTTTGACGTCATCCCGTATTTTAATATGTAAAAAATAATAATAAAATAAAATATAAATAATTTTATTGTTTTAAAAGTTATTAATAATGATGACGATGATAAATTACTTCGATAAATTAATTTTTATGTTTAAAATTTGTAATTAATTAATTACACATTAGTATATTTTAAAAAATTTGTAATTAATTAATTACAAATTTTTTAAAATATACTAATGTGTAATTAATTAATTACAAATTTTAAACATAAAAATTAATTTATCGAAGTAATTTATCATCGTCATCATTATTAATAACTTTTAAAACAATAAAATTATTTATATTTTATTTTATTATTATTTTTTACATATTAAAATACGGGATGACGTCAAACTTACGTAGTATTCAAGATGGCGACTTATTACTAGGGGATTTGGAATTGTAAATCCGTCAAAAAATAATTTTAGATGATTTGTAGGAATTAATTGAAATATTATATTAAGTATTTTAATTATAAGCTATGCCCTTGTTCGGTAAAAAGGATTCTCAGCGTAAAAAGGAGAAAGAAACAACGAATGTTGAAGATAAATATGAATTTAAAGATCTACTTGGAACGTAAGTTCAATTAATTTCTATATTTATAAAAAGAAACANGATATTTAATTTTTTTAAGATATAATTATAAAAATACAAAAAAAATGAATGAAATGTGAGTATAGCGCCATCAGTGAGATTTTTTAGAATTAAATACTATTTAATATATATTTTGAGGAGAAAGGCGGAGTTAAGGCTATAATCTCCATATAAACCCGGGAGGAGATGAGAAGGAGAAGGAAAGGTGGAGTTCGTTACGGAATATAATTGGATCCTGACCTGGATTCTATAATTGTAATTGAAGAACCACAAGTTTTTATTTTGCCAACAGAATAAATCAAAATACAATGGAATAATATCAACATATCGCCATTCATCCTCCTCCATTGACTTGTAAAACTCATGATGTACTGTATATTTTTCCATATACGGTACATTATGAGGTTATGGCCTTATCACAGAAATAGTTAAAAATTAAATACATATACAGTATTTAAATTATAAATATTTATTTATTTATCGAGACATCAACAAAAACGATGTCTTAAAAAATTATTTTACAATAAAACAGAAATATTTTAATTGGAAATCGAATTAAAAATATACCAAATTTACACTAAATCTGGACCTATGTTAATTAATCCCATAAACATTAATTAATACGTGTACTGTACATGCAGTAGGCTATATTATTCAATCTCGAGGGAAATTGAAAAAGTATGGGAAAATGATAAAGCCTACAAGCCCAAGTAATCATCATAAATATTAGTAGCTTCTTTGTGTATTTACATTTACCTAATATGCTAATAAGTTGTGGCAGAAATATAGATATATATAATTCAGATTTATTAAAAGGTAATATTAAAGCAATTAAACAATTTTCATAGCAAGTAGGCAACTAGGTAAATAAAATGTATTTCTAATGTTCAAAATGTCCATTATATGCTTTGATACAGTTCATTCTTGGTTTTCACTTTTCTATGAAGGAATAGATGTTTTTCCTAGGAAAGATCATTCTCACAGAACCCTTGAAACCTTCAACACTTGTATGGATTTAGCTTTCTGAAATCTTTTTATCTCTCAAATGTCCACTTCTTGGTCGATCCTTAACACTGTTTCCTCGTACCTCTACACCAAGTTTCTTGTAGGATTCACAGGTTTCAGCAGATGGCAAATTTCAAATTGCTTCATTTCTTGGAGAAAGCTAAAAATTGTCTCAGGTTTTTGTACTTCCTTCAAGGTTAACAGAACAAAGACTGTAACTTATCTTACATATAGAAATCGAAAAACATTTAAATAGCCAATAGAATGTGAATGAAAATTTAAATGATGCGCTTTTTATAAGCGTGAATAACTAAAGTTAATCTTATATCAGAATTTATCGGCACACGGGATAAACATTTTTATATTTTATGATTATTTTAAATTTTAACATANTTTCATCACAGAAGAAAATCAAATGTATCGTTTCTTCCAAGGTGCAAATACTGCTATGATTTATAAATTATATAATTATACAAAAACCTTTTGTAATCAATCCTAAAAGGGTGAATGAAATTGAATTGACCAGAACATTGTATATAATAATACTAACTGATAAAAACTGAAATGTTATAATTATGACTATGATCAATGATCATTCTATGTTATAACTCCCTGTAATAACAGGCCTTTGCCTAATATGACTAATAAATATATATTGATTGATTGATAATTCAATAATTTGTACATCAAATAACATTTAATTTAATTTCTGAAAATACTTTTGATGACATTACGGTTTGATTGCAACGTCCTCAAAAATATTTTCGAAAATTAAATTAAGTATTATTTGATATACGAATTATTTAAAATTGAAATTTTTAAACTATAATGTGTAAAAATTAAATAATTTCCACTAAATAGTAAATAGATTTATTGAACAAATTTTTAAATATACGATGAATGACCATGATAAGAAAAATGAATGCTATAATATATATTGATAATGATAACTAAATTCAAGTAAATATTAATTACTCTAGAAGAAACCATTGAAATAATAATGATTACAAAATTTAATTTTTAGTGGTTCCAAATTCAGTTTTGAATTTGGAACTACTTGAAATTGGAACTGGATGAACAGAAATGTTAGCTTGAAACTACTGTATTTCCATATCTATTTATATTTAAATCACAAATGAAGAAATAAAATAAAATGTAAAATTAAAAATATTGCTACATATAGATATTAAAAATCTTGAATATCTGATTACAATGCAAAGGATAAAAGTTAGTAGAGACCAACTGCGTCACTAATTAAACCATTTAAGGAAATGATACGTAATCTGTTCCACTTGAAATAAACCTTGAATATTAATACAAGTAATTGAAAAAGTTACAGGATAAATAAAAGAAAATTCAATTAATTCAAAAGGGAAGAATTTAAAAGGTTTCTATCTCAAAGTCACTAAACAAAAGGACAAAGTGCAATCAATGAGGAATTTTAAATAGCTTGACACGGAAAAAAAAAACGTCTGGTTACAAAAATTAGAGTGAGATATAAATAAAACTATTCATCAAATACTGAAAATAAAATTTCTAAAAATTTAAAAATATGAAGAGTAGATTCTCTCCCGACTCAGCAATTTTTTCCTTTATTCTTTCCGCCCTGAGAGCACTAAGGAGGTCTTTTCATAGACCGGAGAAACCGGATGATGAAGGACAAGATCCGAGATATCCGTCCATGGAAATTTTCCGGAGTTTTCTGAACGCCCGGATTCAATCCTCGGTTCCCAGAGCGGCATATTGCACCTTAATTTATTTCTTTTGCATTCATAGACTTAATGTATTAAATATTAATGCTGAAAATGGGGGAAATGTTATCAAAATAAGAAAACAGAACGAAGAAACAATGAAAATAGAAGTTTCAAGGAAACATTAGAGCATTGATATTGTTTTCGTTTGAATTATTTATATTCGATATTATGAGAAAGTTTCTACGCTAGTATTTTATATTTCTAGCTATTTGAAGCCATTCAAATGATCTTTTCAACGAAAATTTTACACTTTCTGACAAATTATGACAATAGCTAATTTTAAATTGTCTGGAAAAAATTGAAAAAATTTTATATTTGCATAACGATATTAATGTCGATGAACGAAAGAACGAAGAAATAGAATATGATTCTTGAATACTATAAGAAATCTTTTCCATTTGCAAGTGGCTATTTAAAGTGGATTAACAGCTTTTGTTCTTTCCTTTACAGTACATTATATTTGCACAGGCATGGGTAAGACGGCAAGGCAAATTTTGAGGTGATAACCCGTAAGATTTCAAATTTCGACCTTTTATATATTTGTCGTTCTTGAGACAATGCAGAAATTTACATGATTTCACATTAAAATAATATTTTATAATGAATGCTTTTGAAGTCATTATAAAATGTGTTTAAATATTATTTTATAATGCAAAACGTCAGACGTCATATTTTATAATGACTGCAAACTTTATATTGACTGATTTGAAATCTTACAAAGGTCTACCTATTTTTGCTTTTGCAGATAATTTTATATACTGTATATTGTTGATACTGAATACAGTAGAGCGTCGATTATCCGAATCAATTGGAGACTGGGGTTGTTCGGAAGATCGGCGTTTCGGATAACCGATTATGTACGAAAAAATATATTAATTTATCCCATCTTGACATTTTTCTCCGTTGCGTGTCGCTTCGCGTTGAATTTTCGTCGATGTTAAGCCTAACGAAGACTATTGTATCGTTAAAAATTATTTTTTTATTTTGTACAAACAAAATAAATATATTGAAAAATATAAAAACAATAAAAAAATTATACTTCAGAAGTTAATTTAGTATCAAAAACGTAAAATATCTTAGTAGCCTAAGACATAGCCAAAGATTGCAGCGCCACAGCACTGGCGAAAATTTAAATTTGTCGACTGGAATTCTTTCGGATGATTGATGTTTCGGATGATTGACTTTCGGATAATCGACGCTCTACTGTATTTTTAAACGTTCATCCGCTGCTTCAGTTTCTGTTAGCATTATATTGATTATGGAATGTGTTTTTCTCCTTACGTAATCCTTCTTTATTACTTTGGGATTTTAAAAACACTTTAATACTGTTTACTGTTTAACAAGAATCGCTAATGTGTGACATTAACAATTCTTTAATGAATCTAAATTTTATAATTTGCAACCTAACGGCAACCCAGATCGATATGATATTATTCAATATAGACCATAATGTTATCTTCATCCACATGTTTACTTTACTTTCCAAATCCATTTACGAAGTCTGTAATTGATAATTTTATTAAATGATCTGATAATTTAGTCAAATATTGCAATAAAATAGGAACTGATTTTAAATTGGATAGAAGGTAAAAGCGATTCGGATGCTAGCCAGTAGCGCATTATAGCATCGT